GCTACAATGTTTTAGCATTCCATATTTTTATTGTAATCGCCATGTATATAGTAATATAGGAAATAATATTAAAATGCCACAACAAAATAGCTTTCGACCAATATCGTTTTATATATTTATTTAACACTCCGTTCGACGTCGGTGGTCTGTCAGGCCAAGCCTACGACGTAAACCGTTATTTTCTTTATGGATGGATCCTTATGAAAGAGAAATTCAACGTCTAACTACTCTATATGAAGAAGTAATTTCGGATGTAGAAAATAATTCCAATAGTTCTATTGTTGACGATGATAGTGAAGAGTTTAGCGATCATGACACGAAATCTGACCAAGAGTTTGCGGAAGCAACACCAACGATTCGAGAACAAACAATTAATGAAGAACAATCTGACAGATTACATTATTGTACGAAATTAAATGAATTAAATGAAAGAAATTTGCACCAGCTACAAATATTCGCACAGGACGAGAATATAGTTTCTCACTTACCCGGAACTACCCGAGAAGCAAAAAACGCAATGAGTCCCATTGAATCGTGGGATCTTCTAATGGAAAATATTATTGAACTTGTAATAGAATACACCAATATTTATATTAGAGATATCTGGAAGAAACAAAAATAATCAAAACGACGTCAAACTTACATCTGTTTCGGAAATGAGAGCTTTTATTGGTTTGTTATATTTAACAGGTTTGGAGAGAGATGATGGCATGGAATCAGAAATATTGGTGGCGACCATAGCACAAAGACGATTTTGATTTTTTTTAAAGTAATGGAAAGTTGAAATAACGTTTTGTTAATAAACAAACTAGAGACGAAAAACTCAAAATCGATAAACTAACTCCGAAAAGAGAAATTTTTGAAACATTTGTAAAAAAGAGTCAATATTGTTATACCGTTCTGACTATGTAACTCTGAATGAGATGCTTTCTGTTTTTCGTGGAAGGTGTAGCTTCCGCATGCACATTCCAAACAAACCTAAAAATATGGTATCAAAGTATTTGCCACTGTCGACGCAAAAACGTTTTACACTAATAATATGGAAATATATACTGATCAATAACCTGCTGGACCGTATAAAATAGATAATTCATGTGAAGCAGTTAATACAAGGATGTGTGATACCCTCTATGGAACAGGAAGAAATATTACGATGGATCGCTGGTCTATTACTTGAAACCTTGTTATCCAACTGAAAAGAGAACACAGGCTAACGGTTGTGGGTACGATTCAGTTCCAAAGAAAAGGATTGCTCCCAATTTTGACCAATGTAAAAGACCGCCCTGTAGTTTCCTCCGTTTTTGGTTTTGGAGCACATACGTTGGTAACATCAGATATACTTAAAAATAATGAGAATGATGATTGTATTCAATAATGATACCAAATGTAAAGTAGATGTTATAGATAAAATGGCGTCACCTTGCTATGTGTGTAGAAGTACTAAATGACGGCCACTCGTCCCAATTTTTTATCGGTCCCAATTTTTCTGTATTTTCTGTGTCATAGAATTTTGCTGAACTCTTTGTGTTTTTAATACAGTTTCATTATTGTTTTGATCAATTTTTACAAAATAGAAGAACAATTTGATTTTTTTAAGTGTGGTAAGCTGTCAAAATTATTATGTTAAATATATCACTTATTTTTGATCTAATTTAATACAAGGTAGGCATAAACAAACAAAATATTTCAGATGAAAGAAAATACCCTATAATTACAAATAAAACATCGTGTTTCAAGAATACTAATTAAAATAAAATAAAAATATAGCCCTATTTGTATTCCCAATAGATCAACAAATATATACTAATTCTGAGAGCTTGAGATAAAAGCGAAATAAAAGTCTCCTCTTTCGTACATTTATATTATCGAACTCTTTCTACATACAAGGTAAACATTAAAAATAAAAAAGAGTGGAGACAATTTTGAAAATAATTTTATTTCTCTGGGATCGTATTAGTCTTTGGAATTTCAGATACATTGATTATGAAGCATACACGAACGTCTCGACTATATGCACTTGATTATTCTCAGCACGCGTGCTTTCCAAAAAGTAATACGACCGAAAGAATCCGTTTTGTAAACGAAGTATTTAAAGTTATGGTGTCCAGTCACAAAAAGAGGATATTTTAAGTACAAATGATTTGAGCTTTCAAACGAGATGTTCACATACCAGATTCCCAAAACAAGGAATGCGCATATGAAAATCTGCCTAACGATTGTGTTTCAACTTCTTGAGAAAATGTTCATAGTTTAAAACTCTCTAACTTGTCAGTGCTCTTTTTTTAATTGAATACAATTTTATTTATAGTTGGAAATCTGATAGGTAAATATATTTCAGGTATTGCGTGTTTTTTTCTACAAATTATGAAAACAAAAACTTCTTCCTCCAAGTAACACAGAAAGTGTTTAATTAGAGGATTCTGGTGCTGTCACTAAACTTTTTTCCAATAATAAATGCTTACTTTACAAATAAAGTTTAAAAAACATAAAACAATTCTGATCGTAACAATTGATTACCCACTTCTGTATATCTTATATCGATTATTAAGTGTTGTTGCTGTGAATATTAGTTATTATCTTCAATAAAATTTTTTTAATATACGAAGTTACCTTAATAACCAAACTAAAAGACCAATTTAAGAGATTCTGAAAGTAATTGCTGTACAAAATTTAAAAGTCAACGGAAATGATGGTACTACTAACCATTTCACAAAAATACATATCATAATCCGATTGCGTTCCTTGCACGATTTATTGGATTTAAGTATATATGGAAAATCGCCAACTAGATTTTTTTCTGTCCAGTCCTTAACATTTCTGTCTTTACAGTCACTTACTGTAGATTATATATATACCACTTTTATCTTAAATGGGTTTGTTGGAACGCAATGTATCATCCTCTTCATTAATTCTTTTCCAGCATCTAGTTTTTTTTTAATTTTTTAATAGTTTCACTATACAATCTCTCGTTTATCCAGGAAATGTGTTCTTTATTTTTTTAGGAAACAATATGGAATTTTGTTTATAATTACAAGATTATTTTTCTTCAATAGACATACATAACGTACAATATATTCTACTTTGTTTATACATATTAGATCTTGAATGCGACGACATTATTGCACTGTACTAAGTGACCATAGTCTCTAAATACTACGTCGAAAAGAAATTCTGACAGATTTCATGAATAAAGAAACGGTTAATATGTACAGGATGTTTCAGATAACCATATTACGATTTTATTTACAAAAGAAATAAACAAAACACAGTTAGGACCTACATTTAACATTTAAAAATAATCAACAAAACGGAATAGAATTATATGAAACACACTGTAAGATTAAAAATAGATTAACCTAGCAAATAGTGTCATAACACATATCTTACAGACTATAGGAAAAATAAAAAAAATAAAAATGCTTAAATTGAGGATAGAAAATCATAACTGATTGATTTTAAATAAGCCACCTCAAAATAATCTACTTCGAATGGTTACATATTGGGCAAAGAAAAAATTTAATGTGATAGTGAATGAACAAACATGACTATTAACTGCTCTCCATTTCCGCTTGATCTCTATTGCTCTGAATCATTAAAATAAAATTACCTCCATTTTATAATAGCTAATTCAAACTTTATATTGGGCATACAACGAGTCAATTTAGAATTCGAATTTAAGTGCATCTTAAGATTAAGTATGTATAGCGATACCAGCTTCGTTCCTCCTCTTTAAATTCCTATTAGTCCGCACTCGCTATTTTCTCTAGGTATTAAGATGAAACGCATTTTTTTCAGAACGAGAACGCCTTTAGTATTATCAAGTTTTTTCTTTTATTTTATAGGTTTCCGCTCTTCATTAATTTTGTTGTTCATCCATTCATAAAATTTTCTCAACATTCCAATGTTACGTCTTTGTCATCTGCCATTCAATTTGACAAGTGACAATAGCTTGGTAAACCTCTAAATTAACACCAATAACAACAAATATGAAAGTTTACAAATTTAGATAGGTATTTTTGGTAACACAAAACGAAGAGCAGTTTTTTTAATAATGTCATGTTTTGTTAACCACTTTGCCGAATATACAATAGACAATATGAATGAATAACCTTTAATAAATATTACACCAGTCAATGATTAGTTTTTGCTATTAAGAGTAGCCATTTTTGAACGTGACCAAAGTGAAAAATATTTAGTGCAAGTATGCTTCTCAATGTTGCAACAGTCAAAGCAAATAGCTAGCCAAATAATTAAGGTATTGTCGGATTTCGTTAAACTACAGTCAAGGCATGTAAAATAAATACGTTGTCATTAATTAATTTGTTAGACGTGCAAACCCCGAAAAGTTGGGTTATAATTTTTGTCGTTGTATTTGTCAATGTATATGTTTCTTTATATTTAATATAGACTCGAACAGGAAGCAGCACACCCGCTTCACTACATACCAAGATCTAGTGGTATCAAAATAAATTACCTCATGGATTATATATTTCTTCTGGAATAGGCTAACCAAAATATGTAAGTGTTTGTCGATTAGAGATTGGTTCATCTCGCTCTCTACCTGCAGAATGTTTGAACACAAATTCTACTTGCTATGCTTTTATTCATAATATGAAATCGTGTTAAAATACTTGATTCAGTTGGTATGCCTCATATGGAAAAATCAAAATAAACAACAAAGATCTATTATATTAGACAATGAAAATGTCGGGTTCGAAACGTCCAAACTGTTTCTCAAATTTCCTGATGAACACTAAGCTTACCCGCCATTAGAAACATTGAGAACAAACTGTAAATTATTATTATGCCACCTCCTATTAGTAAAGTAAATAGATACCCTATTTCCAGAAACCTAAACACGAAATCGGTGGAATGTGATAGGGCTCTTAGCGTAAAAAACGGAAACAAATATTTTTTCAACTGTCATAGGAGATACTTAGTAACTTAGTACTTAGTAAGTTTAGATGCAATTGATGGGTTTAAAAAATATCTATAAGATTCAGATCATGATAATTTTTAATGAAGTTATTTCCTCCTCCATTATCAATGGAGACGTACATGTAGTGGATGATGGTGACAAGAGTGTAAAAGAGCTTAAATTATATGACCCTGGCAGCATCTAATAAGAGCAAAATACTGTGATCACTTAATAAGAGTATACATAAGCACTATTACTAAATTGTCTTTTAAGTGATGATAGTAACGTCACAGTTTATTCAGAAGGATATTTTTCCGAAACAAGATACCTATTTAATTCCACCAAAATGTCACTATCAAAAATTTCTACAATACCACATAAAATGATAAAATCTTATGCTGCGACTGGTCTATATACAACAAGAATGGTGTCCGAGTCTTGTGTGGACTCCGTTTCAGAGCGCGAATTTGCCCAATATGATGCCTATGAAGCTCAGAAGTACTGCCAAACCGACATACACCATTGGAATGGTCTGTTCCTGTACGGGTGGGGCGTATCTGTTGACTGGGGCGGCTCGTGATTGGCCTAGCTGTTGTTTCAATTGGAGAATTTCTTCTTTTAGTCGTAAATGTTGCTGCCTCAATTGACTTTCTTCTTCTCTAAGCTGCTGTACCTATATAAAAAAAGGAATCATAAAAATTCGATGTAAAATTAAACAGACATCATATCAAACTAAATGGCTTCCATACTAATTTTCAAAGTATTATCTCATGAGAAAAATTTATATTTACGACGAATAGTTATTGTTATATAAAGACAAATTAGGGTTTCAGCAATATATGAACAGCAAGCGAACAAAGTATAAAATTAAATTCTACAGTACTGTGCGAATTAATGGAATCATAGCTTTTAATGAAAGGTCAAGGTTTTATTAAAAAATGGTTTTTTAAGAAAAAAAATATATTTTGACAAAACTGTAAAGGTTTACATAATTTGGTAGGAAATGTATCCCCCTTTGGTTGCAATTACTACTGCTTTTGCCCGTTTTGGCATAGATATAGATTATACTAGCTTCTGACAGTTTCTAGATATCCTTTCTCTCGAAACCTGAATGACCGCTTCTATCATTTTTATTTTTGTAGTACAATCGATTTTGCGCAATCTAGCTTTACAAATGACCCATAAATTTTCAATGGGTTGAGGTTTGGCGAATTACCCGGCCAATTTAAAACACCAATTTTATTATTTTTGAAAAATTTCATCTCTTGCTTTGACTTGTTACAGAGAGCAGAGTCCTTGTTGAAGAATCGCTCCTCCTTGGGGCTGACAACTTTGGAGTTCTGTGTCCAAACGCTGTTCCAACATGGATTTGTAATTTTGGCTGTTCATCGCGCCTTCAATTGGTACCAAAGATCGAACCCCCATGTAAGAAAAACATCCCCAAAACATTTTTTTGACTAGATGTTCTATAGTATGATCAATTGGTGTAAGCTTTACATTGTCAGACTTCCTGACGAATTTCGACCGCTGTCCCTAAACTATAGAGTGAGATTCATCTGTAAATGAGACTTTTTCCAGTCATCTACAGTCCAATAATTAGAGTATTTTTGACCCACAATAGCGTTGTTTCTTCAATCGTTCAATTAGAAGCTGTTTTTTTTTCTGTGGATGCATTTCCCTTCTACCATTCTGCAAAAGTATTTTCGGAACAGTGGAGTCATGAGTCACTACACCTGATGCTGCTAGATCTCGTTGGAACCACTGACTTGTTTTTCTTGGGTCCAATTTGCTGTATCGAAGTAAAATCATTCATCTGCTGGTGTTGTTTTTCTCTTTTTTTCGCATTTTCCTAACCTTTTCACATCCATTGATCTCGTTTCTCTCTTACGCTTCAAAATCTGGCATACTACCCCCTGACTCACTCCATGATAGAATTAAACGAAACAAACTCAGTAATTAGCGAAAACAACATTCCTTTTCACACATTTTGAACACTCAAAACCGACCAACAAAATAGTACACTACCTCGCTGATTTTCAGACCGCCTATTCACCCTTAAGCATAAAATACGCAAGTCTAGATTATTTTATATCATTCCCTAAGCCAAATTAACTTAGGTTGATAACCTAAGTCAAATTTAAGAAAGTTTTACAGCTGTTTTTGAGATATGATATATTTAATTTCCAGTATAATATATCCAATTACAGCAGTTTTTAAGCGGTTTCATGTGAGATACGCCTGTTTCGCTTAATAAATTTGATGCGCGTAATTATAAGACCACATACCGCAAGAATCGTGCAAGATTACAATTCCGAAATCGGTTTTCGGGCCATGGAATGTCCACTGTGCAATCCACCTCAATCCCATGAAACATTTATGAGAAGACGTAAAACAAATAATTCGAGCTTGGCTTTATACCCCAAACTCGATCCCAGAGCTTATTGTCGCAGTAGAAGAAGAGTGGCTTACCATTCCACGACAAATAATAGCGAACTTAATTAGACCTATGCTTAATCGTATGAGCAGTTATTAATGCAAGAGGAGGTCATATCCATTATTATAACATTAATTGTTAAATTTTTAATTTTCAAATACCCTTTTTGTGTTAGCAATAAAAAAAATAATTTGCTTGATGCATTAGTTTTATAATGTCATAAACATCTTCTTCTTCTTCTTTGTGCGACTGGGATTACTCCTGTTTGCCTGCCTCTTATTCTGTTACATTATCTTTTCACCTTTTTGGCGGCCTTCCAACGGGTCTTCTGCTATAAGGCTTGTTGTTTTTACAGATGTTCGCTAATGTATCTGGTCCCATTCGGTTTACATGTTTGTTCCAGTTTTTTTTTCTTGTTTTTATCCACCTGCTAATATTTTGAATTTTGCATTGTTCGCGTTTGCTGTTAGTTTGTCTGTCTCTTAAATGCCCGCTATTCATCTTAATTCTTTCATTTCGATATTGTTGATTTGTTGTTTCGTCTTTCTTGTATCGGTCCTTGTCTCCGCTGCATATGTTAGGATTGGTCTTACTGTTGTTATATACTTTCATTTTGCTTTCCGTGGTCAGATATTTGTTTCTCCATATGGTTTCTCGGAGGCAACCCCTTACTCTTGCCACTTTTGATGCTTGCCTTGTGGTATCTGTTCTTATATCCCTGTCACTAGTGATCTCTACTCCTAGGTAATTGAATTTCATTATTTGTTCTACAATTTGTTCTACAATTTTGCCGTCTATTTCTAGTTTGCATCTACGTGGCTCTTTACTGACCACTATAAATTTAGTTTTTTCTACTGATATTCTCATATTAAGTTTGTTTGCTGTGATATTGAAGGTGTGGAGCTGCCTTTGTAAACCATTTTCGTTATCAGCAATTAGTACTGCATCATCGGCATAGCATAGTATCGTGATTTTATGCGCTCCCATGTGGTATCCGTGTCGTTTTGTTACTTCGTGAATTATTTGATTCATCGCCATATTGAATAACAATGGGCTGAGCGAGTCTTCTTGACGGATTCCTCCTTTTAATTATATCCATTCTGTTTCTCCTGTTGGCATTATAACTCTGGTCTTGTTGTTCTTGTTAATTTCATTAATTGTCCTTATTATCTGATGGTCTATTTGTTCAGCTTATAATAAATTTAAGATGTCATTTCGCTTCACCCTGTCAAAAGCACTTTTTAAATCTACAAAGCACATGTATGCTGGTTTTCCATATTCAATAGACTTCTCTATTATTTGTCTGATAATAAAAATTGCGTCTATTGTGCTGCGGTTCTTCCGGAACATCTGCCATGTTCGCTTTTTACTCGACTTTATCTTTTATAACTACGGAAGTGGTGCCATGTATAGTCCGTCCCAAACCCTTCTTTCAGTGCGTCAAAGTTGATCGAATTCTCTCTAACGCATTAAGCTAGAAGTGACAGAAAAAAACGAGAGTCTGTGATTATTATACATAAAACTTAGAAAATTATGTTTCGTTTACGGGTATTTGCATATTCAAACGAATTGTACTTACGGATGTATAATTGCTTGTAGTTTAGAATACGCTAAATAGATAACCAATCAATGATGCGTATAAATATAATTTGACGTAGTTTGTCTCGATAGTGACAGTACTTTCACAATGTCAACTGATAAAATGATAATTGTCATTCTAGGTTCAAAATCAAAAACTGTCCAAAAATCAACTGCTTCACTATTTAAACTATTTACATTATTTTAACTAAACTTCATAACACTCTTTCATTTGCACACTAAATCTGATAGAATAACTCAAAAATCAACTGCTTCACTATTTAAACTATTTCCACTATTTAATGATAAATCTTTACAAAATAAGACTATTGGCCACAGAAACTTATCGGAAAATTACTTATTCGAATATGACTAATTTCAATCGATGCTATTTTATCACATGAATGTTTGAGTTGATGCCTTGCAATTACCAGTAAAATTTTTTATCTCACAGTCAACTCTTAAAAGATTCTAGGAGGAAGCGTTATTTTAAATAAACAAAAATTTCCTATTCCATAGTGTTTGTAATAAATAATAATAAATCCATAAATAAATCTTGTCTAATTAAGCACTTTACTTGGAATGTATAGAATAGGAATAACAAACTGCCGTTATTCCGTATTGCCATATTTAAAAAAAAAAATAACCTTTTCACATTTAGCCGATTACGATCCTGCAACTGTCAGATTTAACTAAAATATGCAATAATTCTCGAAATTCTTAAAATCGTATATGACGTCAAAATTAGTGACGCACTGAAAGAAGGGTTTGGGACAGACTGTAGACCCCATGTAATTTATGTTTAGTATTGCATGCAAACAATTTTTTAAAAATATGACAAATTATGTTTAATATAATTTCTTTGATATATTTTCCATTAGTGTATTATTTTTTTTTTATATTTTTCCAAATTGTTAGTTATTAAACATATTACAAATTACATGTTAAAATATCCTAAATAATGAAACGGTTTACTAAAAATGTTGTAATTTTTTTATTGTTTAAAATGTTTATAAAATAGTTATGAAAAATTAAAGATGAAATATACGAAATATGAAAAAACAAAATAAACCAAAAAAATAAACCCCCCTTATAAAAAACTACAACACCCAAATTTGATCAATTTTGGAATTCAGATAAAAAGTTACTTTGCACATTCTTTACAAATATTAACTCTACAGTTATCATACATTGATAACTTACAAACATCACATAAATTCTTAGTATTTTTATCATTTTTCGTGGATAGAACTCACATCTTTTTCGTTTTTGGTTCATATCGGGATGAACGTTTTCATTAATCATCGGTTTGTTCAGTATTCTACTGATGTTTATTCTCAATTCTCTTGGAAGTCTTTGGTTGATAATTCTTCTATTCAAATGTCGTTCAACGAGTTGTTTGGCAAGCAGCTTCACAAATTCTACCCGTAATATGTTATTTGCTTCTGGGTAGCTTTGGTGTAATATATATGAATTAACTCCGGCGATGTCAATGATGGAATAAAATACCGCTATAGGCCAACGCCTAGTACGTCTACTTGAACTATAAATTGCACATTTTTTATCCAGGTCATCTACGCCCAATTTGGTTTCATTATAAAAGACAATCATTTCAGGTTTGCATCGTAGAAACTAGAAGTACAGCCTTGCTTTTCTTTTAA